ATAGTAATTATCAACTTTTATAATTCAATCTATTCAATATATTTGAAATTTTCTTAAAATAACTCAAAATTGGAGTCGAATGCTATTATTTATAAATATTTCAGTTTTGATATTTTATATTATAAAAAATTGTAATTGAAAACATAGATGTGTACAAAACTATATATGCGTATTGAGTAATGGCAACATTGTGCAAATGAAAACAAATGGCTGATTTCTGCGATTTTGCCAAGTTTTCACTGGGCACACATTTTGCCGATGAGGAAGGAAAAGGGAGGAAGGCAGTAGCGTTTTTGACTGTTCCTGCTATAAGGCATACTAATTTGTATGCTATATATTGCATGCAATGGACTGGTACTGTAGCAGTTTGGCAGCTCAGTTTTCATTTTTGTGAAAATTTTGAAAAGGCAACACAGCTCATTTACATATACTTATACCGTCGGCAGTTTCATTCGGAACAATTTTTAATTTAATAGCGCAAGTATTAAATATCATTGCTAATATTAAATTGATTAATTTACTTGGCATATAAAAATTATGATACAATTATTATAGTCTGAAAATATGAAATCTTTTTTTAAGAAATAAATTAGTAGAAAAAAGTATATTTCAACTTTTTTTCATTTCCACATCCATTTGTTTCATCCTTATAAAAATGTTAACGGTTCACGAGCTCAAAACATACACTATATCAGCTCGATGCTACCTACCCGACCCCATTTTGCGAATAATTATATTATTATTATGATAACAAATTATCAATTTCAATCGTGATTTGATYACAATGTCGCACGTTTTTTTACAACTCCTAATACTTCGTGGGGCCGCGGCGCATGAAAGTGTACAACAGGGGTTTTTTGCGCATTTTAACTTGGTTTGGTCCAATTTTCAGAGTGCTATGATAATTTTTTATTTTTTTTATTATAAAATCTCTGAAGTACAATTTGTGTTTCATTAATTATTCAAATTAGCATTCGGATATATGTATATATTAGTTTTTAAGGTGCGTATATCTTGGAAAACAATCAATAAATAATCGGGTTGTGTTGAGACAATGTGGAAAATAATCAATCAAAAATCATTACTCGCTTCGCCATTTTTAACTAATTCTCTCAAATCAATGTAAAGAAATGAATTTAAAAAAAGTAAACAAAAAATAAAATCAAAGTAAATAATAAATAAAATCTAAATAATAGTAATAAATACAAAGTAGAAAAAAAAAGAAAAAACCGCTCGCACATTTTCGTACGACAACGATTTTACGAGCGGTGTAAAAGTTGCATATATTTATATTTGAGCTCTGATTTATTATTTACTTTGGATTTTGTAGTTGTTTTCGTACGACAAAATAGTACGAGCTCAAATATAAATATATGCAACTTTTACACCGCTCGTAACT